CTGACACAAAAAAATATATCTTATATTATCTTATACTAAAAAAAAAGAGATAATTTCTTTCGGTCACATTTTTTTAGACAGTTTTAATTTTCTAATTACCTCTCAAATTACTCTTTATTTCTCATTCATTTTTTTTAATATTTTGTTTTACTTTTTTACTTTTCAAAACTGTTTAAATTAACACTATTCTAACAATTACAACTACAATTTTTTTTAATTATCAACCTTTACTTTTGCTTTATTTCTTAAAAAATACACATAGACGTAAAGTATGTCTTTTACGCTGATGTATTATAAAATAATTTTATCCCATAATTAAATGTTATGTGAAATCACAACATTCATTATTTTCTATCTAAATTTCATTGACCTTTTTTGTTTTTTAATTCATTAAAATATATTATTATATTCAAAATTATTATATATTTCAAGTATATATATATATATATTGATATATTATATAAAATTAAAAAATAGTAAAAAATACATTAAAAAATGATAACATTATAAAATAATTAAAAATCGTAATCTTAAAGCATATATAGAGCACATGTCATTACACTCATAATAAGAAAAAAATATTTTTCAATACATTTAATTACAAACCACTTATATCATTTAGTATTATTTTTTATGAATATATTCCACATAGTGTCTCAAAACTAATAATTAAGGATTAATTTGCGCTTGTAAAATTAATTTTTATTGGTCAAATATTATTTTAATGCATACGGGTATCGAACCTGAAAATATCATGTTTATCTCTCATGTTTCAGGACAGAACTTATAATCGCTGGATCAAAAGATTTGATTTTAAATATTAAATATGAAACTATGTTAAATATTTGAGAAAATTTTCAAATTTTGTCATGCATAATAATAAAATAATCCTATTTGACTTTGCTTTTTGTCCATATCTTCTTTTGATAATTGTCACCACGCCCTGTCTACCTCCCATGTACACATATGCTCTTCATTTTTGGTGTTCATCTTGTTCCACCTTTATTTTTATTTTACCTGTTTTTCTTTTCTTTTGTCCCTATGATTATGAATCAAACTGCTAAAGCTCAATGACTTTGTTTTGACATGGGAAAGTATGTTTCTTGGATACTACAAGGCCATCTACAACTCAAATTTCAGTTAGAAAACATTTGCAAATTGAGACTAATCTGAAACTAACTGACTCAACTGAAAACCAACTAGCTAACATTTGGCAATATGCAATCTAAGTCAGAGGACTTGGTCTAGCTAGGCAGGACCAAGTAGTATAACCATAACCAGATTTTACATCATAAGAAAATGAGAGGTAAAAAAACATTTTGAGTTTATCCCTCAGAGCTTTAAAACAAAATGATGAACAAAATAACGATAGTGATTTAGTATATCTATTCACTGGCCTTAAGCTAGAAGATGGCATGGATTATAATAAGCCAATAGGCTCACAAACAAAGATATTAATTATTTAAGATGAAGAGTGTCAGATCACAAATTTTAATGTATATTTTTTCTCTTTATTATTGATTAAACATTATAAAATTATTAAATAAGAAAAATGATACTTACAAAATTATAATTTTTAATAAACTTCAATTAATAATAAAAAATATATTAAAATTAGTGTCTTAGAAAATAAGACTACTATAATGCTATCTTTCATTACTTCTAACATTTTTTTTTCTATTTAGAGAATTTTATGTATGAATCTTATTCTTAAACCAGTGAAACTTGTAGAACTTTTAATCAACAAGAGAAAATGTATTAAAATAAGAGTATGAGAAAGTGTCTTGAACTCTTGATAGAGTGATAGTTGATAGCACTCCTCTTAAAATTAATAAGTTTTGGTTAAGTCCTAAGAAAACAAGTTTGTATAGATTTGATGTAGATAAATTAGGATTTTCTCATTCAGTTATAGATATATGGAGATCAACCCAAGGTAAGATTATTAAAGCTTAAGCTTTAGGTCCACTAATTAAAAAATATTTATAATTAATTTTATAAAAAAAAGTCACATAAATTAGTAAAAGGTCTAATATATATTTATTTCAAATATAAAAGTTTTCTCAAATTTTTACTTTAGGCTTTTTTCATTGTTGGGTAAACCCCAATGCGGATTGATCTTCAACACTTGTGGACTAAACGAGTTTAGCCTGCAAATCACCTGAATTAACCTAGTTACCTGAAAGAAATATTTTTAATTGAATCATTTAATCAATTTAAAGTTAAAAATAAAATATTTCATTTTAGACTAATCTACTTGGGTCGAACCACAAAAATCATCAGATTTGTACAAGCTTATTAAATATACATATATAGGTCTCTTTAACAAGTAAGCCTGATATCTCATAATTCCAGTCAAAAATCGACTTTTTCTCTCATAATTGATTTGCTCTAATTTAGTGCTAGTTAAATTTCTGCCACTATTTTCTACCTGAGACTTGAGAGTACTTCAATATATATATTAGGAGCACAGAATACGAAGTTGTAATTTGATTTTGACATTGTTCATTGTTTATCTTCCCATCCCAATACAGGAGCTAGAAGTGAACAAATACAAAGATCAAATGGAAGAGGCTAACTTTCCTTGCAATCTCGGTTCATAAAAGAGAAAAATCAAGAAGAAACGAGTGTTGTGATCAATCTTCATGGTGGCTGTCTACGTCAATTTTTGCTTTCAGAAAGTGAAATAACTTCAAAAGGGAGCCTTCAAATGAACAAAAATTATATCATTCTCCATCCAATGTATCAGCTTGGAATACCACCGACTGTGTGTTTCACTTTCTATTAAAGAAAATAATATCCACAGTGCCTCATTCGTCCTATTCTACTCCCATTTTCTAGTTTATATGATAGTTTAATTGAATATAGTGCATGGAATCGTAACATTGTTGTCCTTAGAGATAGTAGTTTGAGACTAACAAGGTTCAACACAATTGTTAGATAAGTTCTTTAAGTACGTTAAAAGAAGTTGTCCGAAGAGTCAAAAACCTACTTTGGCAATCTATATGCTTCAAAATGAATTAATCTCCAATTATCATTGGAAAAAAGAGACAGTAGCCAAAATAGTTGGTTTTAAATCCAAGAATTATCTGTTACCAACAAAATCCTGATATGCCGTAACTTGACACCGAGAAATGACAAACATTGTTTCAATGTCACTCACTTGGATTGGTTAGTGCTTAATTAGTTGCTTTGGTTCTTTTTTTAATGAGGCATATCATAACGATATTTATCGATACGTGTTCATGTAGAAGAATCATTCACAACTTTGGCTTTTACCTGTCAACTATATATAATGTTATTCTTTTGGCCCCATTAGTTTTTCAGTTAGGATGTATCTTGATATGCTTATGTTATGGCAGTTGTTGGTAAATGGTATTATCCACTTGTTCTCTTTAAACAAAAAGCGACGGTTGAGAGGATGAACATAGTTTGATTTGACTAAGCCTTTGCAAGTGAAAAAGTTTGGCAAACCAAACCAGTTAGCACCACTTTTTCATTATTTTTCCTTCGTGTAAAAATATATGCATGTATATATATACATGGAATAGGAAAAATTATTAGGTAGTCCTGAACCACATAATCTTTAACTAGTCTCTATACGATATATAATTAAGTGTCATTAAATTTTTTTCGTATATTAAAAAATTTAAATATATGTCATATACTGATTCTGAGATTACTGACACTTGATAGTCCTAAACCATCTAATAATTTCTCGTGAGAAAAAGGCACTGATCTGTGTAGTGTGAACTAAGATTAAAATTGTGGCCTCTCTTTGTTTCTGAACAGAAAGCTAAGTTTCAGCTGGTTGGTGAGACATTGCCACTAACCTTTTTCTGGCTGTTTCCGTTGTTTTATGCTTCTATAATTCTATTGTGTTTGATTGATATTATATTAAATATTGTGGGGTATGCTTCTGCCTTAGGTTCCGTTATCCTTTCTTTTTGTGGGGGAAATTAGGCCTTCATGGATCAAAGCCTCATGCTTCGGTAAAGCCCGACCTTATTTCTGTTACAAGTACATTCTTCAATTTTTTGATGCCTATATTTCAAACTTTAGGCACCAAAATTTTAGATTCCCTTATCAGTGTGTGATTGATGAAATTGACACGAACAGAGGAAAGATTTTAGTGTCTCGTGGGTGAATGTTCTAAAGGCACTAATTAAAGTACAATAAATTCACTTTATTAAATATTTTTAATAATTTAAAATATAAGTCTTAATGATTTTTGTATTTTTGATAGAATATTTTTTAAAAATTTGTTCCTTAACCAGTATTCTTCCAGAACTGATTTTTTTTTTTGGGTATAAGAATTAAGACTACAAATATCCGTTATGAAAGGTAATTATTGAATAAGACTACTGTACTGTAGATGATAAATATTTTTTTAAGAATGTTTAATACAACTGCATACCAAAAATTTGGTTTTAAGACTATTGATTAAGTTAGAATGATTCAAAAGTGTCTATTAGTATTTACTATGCTTTTATTCAAAGAGGAAACAAAAATTGGGGGGTAGAGGGTAGTGAAGTCCACTCCCTTTTGGTAAAAACAATTTTTATGTGCTCCTCTTGAAATTTTAATGCAAAACTTTCAAATCAGGTTACTCGGAGCTCAATAATTGGGGTGTTTTTTCAAAATTAATTTACGTAAATATTTTACAAGACGTATTCAATTAAGAATTTCTTCAATATCATTCAAATACTTTTCATACCATACTTTATGGCATTTATCATGCAGTTCATACGTCAAAATTCAAAATCCCCGTTTTTCATCATAAAACAAGGCAATCATCACGCTCCTTGTTATTATTATTATTTGGTGTGATAGATACTTCCTTGAAATAATAAAGGGCAATACTATGAAGAAAATGAAGTTACTACATTTTCTTACAAACTATAAAGACAGAAAGCAAGCCCAACTTTGATTTGTTTATGGTATGTCTTTCTGTCCAGAAGAATTTGTAGAGTACCATAACTATATAGATGAGAAAGCAAGCTAGAGTTACTACATAAAGTGGATACAATTTTGCATTTATGTTGTTCCGTTTGTTCCCTACTTGACCTTGATAGAATAGACAAACTTTCCCCTTGTGGTCACCATTGTTTTGTCACTATAAGCTATCAATAACATCACTTTGTCCTTAGGAGTATATAAGTCATTTTTTATTCATCATTATTTGCTTAAAATCCTTGCAAAATGGAACCCTCAGTGCCTCTAGCCAGTGAGAGTTTTTCCTATAGTTGGTTATCTAACTCTAAATCCCCTGCTGAAGACCTTCATGATGACCCTTTTAGAGAATCTGATGATTTATTGCAAAACTTTAATTTTGATATTTCTGTCCCTCACTCACCTCTTGTTCTTGTTCCTG